TCGTCGGGCTTTCCTGTGATGGCCAGCATGTCGTGTAAAGGGGCGTGTCTTGAGGGGAGGGGGGAAGGAGGGGCAGTTTCACACTCCCGACCAAGTGCGGAGGCAGATGCCAGCGGAGTGCACTTGCCCCAGCGTCGGGTCTTGGAATTTCGCCGGCACATGTGACTTCGTTTGCGTAATTTCGTGCCATCCCCCCTCTGGGCCTGGCTGCCGATCGGGGCGCGGTTTTTCGTCGACCCGGCCGGCTCAACGCCGGGAGGTGAGGCTGGCGCCGGGGCGGGCCCGAACGGCGAAGGACGATGAGCATGCCTCGGTGATCGATGAAAGGCTCTTCAGGGGCAACTCCGCCACCCGGATTGCCACTTGGGCTAGACACCTTATTCTATTTCCCCGCTTGCCTCGATTCGCCCCTCCCCCCCCCTCTCCCTCTCCCTCTCCGTCTCTCTTCTCGGCCACCCCTTCGGCCACGCACACGCATTTGCGCATACGCTTCGTCATGTCGTTGCTGCCGCCGGAGCACTTCGCCCTTGTGGAGCCGGGGATCTTCCGCTGCGCGCTAAGCTCTCTTGGCGCCAGCCAACTTGCCTTTATCCAGCCTCTCTCATTAAAGACGGTGGTCGTCCTCTCACCAGACACCCTTCCCCGGGCATTGTCGGAATTTTTCATGGAAAACGGCGTCGAAGTAGTGCGTCCCAGGTGCTGTGGCTCCTCCCAACCCGCGAAACTGATGCAAGTTCATCCTGACAAGCTTGCCCTCTGCCCCAGCATTCCATCGGACTCCGGTGCCTTCGCCTCGGATCGTATTCGTCCCAAACCGACGACACCTCTTCCTCCGGGCTCGGGTACTCCAGTCCCGGATCCTACTTGAGCACGCGCCTCATGAAGGAAGCCCTGGAGCTGGCCTTGGACTCGAGCAACCATCCGCTCCTGGTCACCTGCAGGTGTGTCAGTGGGTCTCGGTTTGCTGCCCGACGCGCCCGTTCCCCTCGGTCGCCGAACGACAGTGCACTGACGTGTTTGATGAATGTCCCCTTTGCCTGATGATGATGATGATGATGATGATGATGATGGTGGTGGTGATGATGCCCCAAGCTCTGGCATTTACCAGAGTAGTGTTTTTGCCGCCTGTCTGCGCAAGCTCCAGGGCTGGTGCTTTAGCTCATTGCTATTCGAGGTACCTTTGCTCGAGCATGTTTCTCCTCTCAAATTCGTATCTGCCCTCTTCGCTGCCGGGTTCCTGACATCCGGTGGCAGTATCGATCTTTCGCCGCTGGCGGCAAGCCCCGTCTGTTGGACGAGCACTTCATCGAGCGCTTCGACACCGACCTGGTCAACATCCCGGAGAGGCACAAGTTGACTGACTGGAGCCAGAGCTTCCTCCTGCCCAGTTCCGCGTCCGAGGCCGAGGGGAGATCTCCGGGAGCAGGCGATGTCGCCTGCTGACCCTGCCGCCGGGTGCCCTGTGTCCGGGTGCTTGTCAGACATGGCTTGCACGCTGCATGCATGCATGCGCGTGTGTGTGTGTGTGTGTGTGTGTCCCCTGCTTCAAGTAGCACACACACACACACACGCCGAACAGGGACTTCTTCGCCCGCAATGCACGATCGAGTCAAGGGTTAACCCATCATCAAGTTAATATATCACGTGTCGATCCCAATAGATTGGCACTCCTGGACGACATCCACGGCGGCCCGCTGCCATGCGTCTCGCCGTGGCTTGCCTGTGCGGGGCCGATTCCTTTCCGTGCATCCCTCTCATCTGCCGTGCTGTTCTTTGGTTTTTCGCTCGGTTGTCTTGGGTGGCCCTCGTGTTCCCTCGCCCGTCTAATCCGGGGGCGAGTGTGTGCATGCGTGCGTGCGTGCATGCGTGTGTGTGTGTGTGTGTGTGTGTGTGTGCGGCTGTCTTTCCTCTGGGCCTGGCCCTCCCTCCTGTTTCACAAGCTTGTGCGACACTGCCTATTCTGGTTTAGGCCGCTCGATTTTGGGCGGGGACTGGCCAAAAGCACATGCCTTCGGAGCATGGGCGCGGGCATGGGCGCGTGTGTGATGATTTTTTGGGCTGCCCCAGGTGTGTAGATGGCCAGGGGCGTGGTGGGGGTGCAGGGCCATGCTGGAGATTCCGTCCCCCCCCCCCATCCCCACGTCCTCCGCCCCCCCTCCCTCCCCCCTCCCCTCTCCGCCCCTGCCTCTCCCCCCCTCTTCCTAGTTCGTCACCGCCACCACCCCCCCCCCCCGCCGTCCGCCTCTTCCGTCCCTTCCCCCCCCCCCCCCCCCCCCCCCCCCCCCCCCCCCCCCCCCCCCCCCCCCCCCCCCGCCTGCCGTTCCTTCTCTCAGTGAGCCCTGACTCTGGTGTTTCCCAGCACGAGGGCAATCGAGTGAAGAGCCACCACCGTCAGGCGTGTGACACATGGGATGCCTGCTACCCGCCCCCGCTCCGTCTCCCTCCGCCTTTGTCACCCCCTTTGCCCAACCAGCCGGACCTACACACCCACACCCGCGCCCACTCTCTCCCTCTTTCCACTCGCTGCCGGATCTCTCCCTCACCCTTTCCACTCCCCCGTGCGTGGGCCCACCCACCAGCGCGTTGTTTAGTGGGAGACGTGTGTGTTTGGTTGAGCACTTCTGCTCCGTCCTCTGGCCTCTCGACGCCCGGCGAGCTCTCCGTCTTTCCCCCTCGCCCCTCCCCCCCCCACCTCTCGCCCCCTGTCTCTCTCTCTCGGTCTCCCCCTGGGCGTAGCAATGTTTCGCGCCTTCCTCCAATACTCCCGGCCACGAGTGGCACAGCTGCAGCATGTCCATCTTGGCTTGTCTGGAGGCCTGTCCACCCCGGCAGGAGCCCCAGTCGGGTTGGTGCAGCCGGTGCTGGCGCGGATTGGGGCCTCCATGGGAGATCAATCGCTGCTGACCCGATTCGGTCCTGGCCGAGCGCTCTACAGCTCGCTTCCGCAAAGTGCCAAGGTCGAGCCACAGGCCGCCGGCGCCACTCGCCGCACGCCGCACCAGGGCTCACAGCAGCATCACCACGATCGTCGATCCCAGCCGGTCAATCGCCCCGCCGGACGATCGGACTCTGGCGGTAGCCCGGACACTGGCAGGCCAAGGCATCGCCCAAATCACACGCGGCACAACAAGCAGCGGCATCCCTCGCCAGCTGGTGGCACTTCCGCCGCTGCTGGCTCCAGTGCGGAGCCCGGATCCGGTGTCGTTGCCGGATCAAATCCCGGTGCTGGCAATGCACCGAGCGGCACCAATGCCCATGGGAACCGCTCCCGCCATACCTCGGGCTCCACTCCTGCCCGGCAGTCTCAGCATCCACGTCGCTCCGATGGTCAGCATGCCAGGTCCTCGACCGGAGCCCCCTCCCATCACCCTAACCACGCCAAAACCAACCAGGCGAAGAGCAACCAGGCGAAGGACAGCACCAACAACAGCAGCAGTGCCAGCAGCAGCAACAACAACAGCAGCACCAGCAGCAGCAGCACCAGCAGCAGCAGCACCAGCAGCACCAGCAGCAGCACCAGCAGCAGCAGCAGCGGCAACAGCAACAACAAAAACACTGCCGGCGCTGTTTCGAGCAGCCACTCAGCCGCGAGCAAGCCCGAGCCCCAGACGGTCGGTAAGTCGCCTGTTTCGGCGGTCGCTAACTCCAACGCCCCGAACGCTGGCAAGCCGGATGCCCCGGCTCGGGATCCCTCCCGTGCGAAGCATCCCCACCATTCGACTCTCCGGCGTCGTCCCCGGCATAACCATCCGGCCGGGGCTCCGGCCCACCAAGCGTCCCGCAGTCGCAGCAATCCTTCCAATCCCCAGTCGGGCACCAGTTCCGACACCGTGACCAAGGCCACAGTTTCCGCGGCCGCCAGGGAGTCAAACTCCTCCACGGGAACCCCCTCTCCCAAGAAGCACGAGTCCGCTGCCCGGGCCCAGTCTGCGCCGCAGCGTGCGGGATCGGCCCCGAAGTCGCCCCGCACACATGCCTTCATTAATACTTCCTCCTCGACCAAATCCTCCTCCTCTGCCACGGCTCCTGTCTCGACCGGGGGCGCTGCTGCTCCGGCTCCGGCTCCGATTGAAGGCGAGGGCGTCCTCTTCAAGCGCGTCCCAGCCCAGGCTCCCTGGATGGGGCTTGGCCACCAGGGGACCACGCAGGCAGCATGGTCCTCGGCTGTGGTTTCGCGCCAGGAGGATGCCGGCCGGCCACACAAGAAAAAGAAGTCCCTCGGCGAATTGGCCTCTGCCGGGCCGTGGTTCCTGCCGGAGGGTAGCGCCATCGAGCTTCTGACTGCCTCGGAGGCCATTCCCACGGTGGAAAATGACCCGGCCCTCATTGACGCTTCTGTGGCCTTCATCGAGAGCATCAGCCTGGATAACCTCCCCCCCGAGGTGGTGAAATACTTCGATGGCGAGGAGCATGTCCGCGAACTCCTGGCCGATGATGCGGGCCGTGCGCGTGTTGCCCGGGTGGCAGAGATGTTTGCTGCCTCGAATGGTCTTCAGTATCTGGCTGCCGATAAGTTCCAAATGGGCCGTACGTCGGCATCTTTCGTGCCTTTTTCCTTTCGCTCTCGCTCTCGCTCTCTCTGCCCTCTCTCTCTCTCCCCACTCTCTTTCTCGGCGTCTCTCGGCGCCTCTCCTCCCACCTCCTCTCTCCACCTCCGACGCATGTCCACCAGGGCAACTGATCCCTCCTTCCCCTCATCTGATCCTCGGATTGCCAGACCTGGACCTGCCGAAGGGCGGCGACATCCCAGTCTTGAACCCGGCACTGAGCCATGTCATCCATGAGCCAGGGGTTCATGTAGTGCGAGACTTCCAGTCGAAGACGATGCACCTGCCACCGGAGGTTCGGAGCCTGGAGAAAGTCAAGGCCGAAACCCTGCGGCGTATGAAGCTCAACCAGCTGATTGAAATGAAGGGCTTCAAGACCGGGCTGTCCTTTACTCCCTCTTCCAAGGATAAGACCCTGGAGCGCTTTGCCGTGGAGCAGGGTGTCCGGTTCATTGGGTCCACCTCCTCGGTCAGTGCCTCTCTCAGCCACATCTACTTCACCATGAGCAGCAACCGGTTCATCACCCCGCCGCCGCTCATCTCGAAGTCCATCAGCCAGGAGGTGCGCAAAGGCTGATTCATCTTTTTGGTGCCCTCCCCCCCCCCCCAACCGCCCGTAATGTGCCTTTCTCACATGCATCCTGTGTGTATGCTCTCCTGCCCGTTTGCCGCTTGGTGGCTGCTGTTCATGGAATTGTACTCCCCCCCCCCCCCCCCCCCCACACGCGCATGTGCTGGCTGTCAGACTCGTCGCTTCACCCGAGCCACCCGGCAGCCGGTGCTCGTGAACCTGGTCCGCAAGGAGACCGGTGTCTATGCGGTCGACTCGTCGGCCATCCTGTCTACGGAAAGCATTCTCTCACGCATGGTGCGCTGGCGTGTATTTTTGAGATGTGCCCAACCAGCGGTTGGCCTTGCCGTTGTTCCGCTCGGCCTCCTCCTCCCTTCATGCTGCCCTCCCGCCCTCTCTCTCTCTCTCCTCCGCCCATGGGCGTCTTCTGACATCGCTTTTTCACCAGGGCCATGTGTTCGAGAAGTTCCTCACGTCTACGACGCCGGAATTCGAGGATTTCCTCGACTGGCACCTGACCCACGACAGCGCGGTCGACCTGGACTCCCGGGAGGACCGGACCACGCCTGTGGATCTGGCGCCGCCACATCCGAGCGACGTGCATTCGGCATATAATTACTTCGGAGCCGGGTCGCTGCTGCTCCGGTCCCAGTTAGATTGCCATGACCCGGAGAACCCGGAGCGCATCTTCGACTTGAAGACCCGAGCGACTTTGGCCATTCGGAACTTTGTCAAGGACTACGAAAACAATGTCAAGTACCGGCTCCATCGGATGTCCGGGCAATTGTCCTCCTTCGAGCGGGAGTATTACGACATGATCCGGTCGGCCTTCATGAAGTACTCGCTGCAGGTGCGCATCGGTGGCATGGAGGGCGTCATGGTGGCATACCACAACACCGATGAGGCCTTCGGCTTCCAGTTCATCCCCCTACGGGACATGGAGCAGGCGCTCTATGGGAATGCGGACCTCGGTGATTTGGTTTTCCGCCGTGGACTGGCCATCTTCGAGCAGTTGTTGGAGCGCATTTCGGCCGACTTCCCTGGGCAGGTGCGTTTGTTGCCTTCTCGGCTTTGTTTTTTTTTTCCGCGTCTTTGTGTCTTGTCGTTCTTTCGTGTCCTCTTTTCGGGGCCGTCGCGCGTTTGCTCAGATCATGCTTCGCACGCTGGGACCTGACAATGCCATCATCATCATCATCATCATCATCATCATCATCATCATCATCATCATCATCATCATCATCATCATTTTTTCTTCTTTTCCTCCCTGCCCCCCCTCCCTCCCGGTTCGGTGGTGTGCGTAGTCTGTGGCCCTGATGATCAACTCTCAGATCCGCCCCGGGCACCTGGAAATCCTTGCCGCTGGAGGTGGGGCTGACGAGCGCTCGGACGAGTTCTCCGGGGATGGCCTCTCCCATCGGATGGTGGAGAAGTTGCTGCACCATTGTGCTCCAACCCTGTCGCCGGAGCGACAGGCAGCCCTACAAGAGGCGGTGGCCGCCTCCAGCAAGCCGAGTGCATCGGTGTCCTGGTGCTCGCGCCCGGTGGAGCCGGTGGCCGCCAAGTTCGTTGCGCAGGACCATTCAAACCTGCAATTCAAGTTGTACTCCGTGCAGATGGAATCCTTCCTAGATGGCGCCAGCATCGGTGCCAACATCCCTCCTTCCACATCTACGCAGCCGTTCACCGGCCAGTGGGATCTCTTCTTCGGGGTGTGTCCATTCTCCCACACCCTCTTCCCCGTCCTTCCCCCATGCCCCCGTCTCTCTCTCTCTCTCTCCCTCTCTCCCCCTCTCTCCCTCTCGCTCGCTTTTTTCTTCCGGCTGACTCTCGATTGCCCCCCCCCCCAAAGATCCACGAGCGCACGCCGGCCGATGCCCTGCGGAGTCACTTCCATGCCTTTGTCAAGAATGTCTCCATGTCAAGGGATGCAGGTCTCTTCTTCCGGTCGTTGGAGGCTCAGCAAATCCCCGATGACATTTGGAACTCGGACATCCCTGTGGCCTGCATTTCGAACGATCCAAACGCCCCGGGGTCTTCCTTCGTCCATCGTAACAAGAACTTCCTGAAGGGCAACGGTGCCCGGTGGCAGGGGTCCCGGCGCCCGGACCGCCGCACCAAGGTCTTCGCTCCGCCCGGCCTGGAAGGCAAGGCACGCATCAAGTCGGTCGATCAGTTCCGCGACTCGCTCAGCAGCGTGCGGATGGCGCGCAACGCCGAAGGCACCAGTCCGGCGGATGCCAGTGCGGCGGCGGCGGCGGCGGCCGCGCTGGCCACGGCCGTGGCCACGGCCACGGCCGCCACATCCGCCGCGGCGTCCATCCCCCCGGCGGCGCCCGTCGCCGTCGCCGCACACTCCTCGTAGGGCGGGGAGGGGGGGGAACGTGCGGGTGGGATCGCACCTGCATGCGGGTGCTGCGGCCAGCCGTGCCCGCCCGGCAACTCCCAACGAACGCACATGCTCCGAGATGATCTTTTTGAACTCCCTGCCTTTTTTCACACTAGAATAGACCATGCTGCATTTTGGCATCAGGGCGTGTCCCGGGCTTTTTTTTTTTTTTTGGTGGAAGTTTGATCGGAGGCCGGGCGGGCGTCGGTGGAAAGACCCCCCCCCCCCCCCCGCTCGCCCGGCCGGCTGGCGTGCGTGTGTGGGCACGCCCCGAGGGCAGGGACGCATGTGCCCACACACATGTACGCCGAACGTGCGGAGGGGTACCAGACGCTCAAGATGTGCCGTCGCGCTCAACAGGCGCCCGAGCTGGCGCACATTTCCATGGCTTCCCTCGTTCCTTGTCCGCATCCCCTCACTCCCTGCCTGTTGCCTGATCCACTGTCCTGGCTGCCGTCGGTTTGTAGTTGTTCTCTCTTCCTCCACCAGCCCTCATGTCGCTCAAGGGCCTCGTGCGACTGGCGAGTCGACACTTGGGGAAAATCGCGCGCGAAGTCAAGTATGAGGCCAAGAAGGATTGGGATGCGCTCACTACTGTCCCTCTGGCCGATCTACGGGTTCGTTGAACTTCTCCTCCTTCTCCTGCGCGCGCGCGCGCGTGTGTGTATGTGTGTGTGTGTGTGTGTGTGTGTGTGTGTGTGTATTTGCCTGCTGGTCTCGTTGAGCTAACATCGCACCCCGCCTGGCCCACGCGCCAACCTCCCCCCCCCCCCTCATCCCCAGGACCCCGAGCTGTTGGGTCGGATCATGTTCCGCATACGCCTCGGGCTCAGGGCCTATTTAAATTCGTTCAATGCGGAGGAGATCCTCAAGCGGCATTCCTTCGAGCACCCATCTGGCCGGGTAATCATCTGTGCGTTTATTTTGTCGCTGATTGTGCACATCCTCCCTCTCGCTCGTTCTTTGCCCCCTTTCTTCTCTGTCTCTCCTTTGCCTGGCGACCGTACTCTCGCACTCACTTAGGCCCCCCCGCCATTCAATCAGCTATCACGCCCATCGTCCGGCAGCCCGCGAAGACGGTCACCGAGGCACTTGCCCAAGCCGAGGTCGCGCAGCTGGAGGAGAAGCTCCGCCAGGATGGCGAGCATCTTGGAGAAGCCGAGCGCGTGAAGCTGTCCCAGCAGCTGGACGACCTCCGCCAGAGCCTGCGCGACGATCCGACCCCCGACAAGAAGCCCCTATCACAGGTTCTGCGCGAAACTCTGACCGAGGTATGTCCCCCTCGGCCCTTTCTGACATGAGCCCGAGCCTCGTCTGAGTCACCTCGAAGTAGCCTCTCTCTCTCTCTCTCTCTCTCTCTCTCTCCCTCTATCTATTTTCCCCGCTTCATCACTGCCGGCGCGCTGACGCCTCCTGACCACGATGACATAGTTCTCCGCCGGCTATGCAGACGGCGTGCAGGGCCGCGACCCGGCCGAAAGTTTGGCCTCGGTCATGAAGACATCGGACGCTCGGGCCACGGTGGGCCGTCTTCTCCAGAAACTGAAAGCCCTCCGTGACCAGGACATGTCGTCCTTGACGGGAGATGAGCGCGGCGCCCTGGAGGCTGGGGATGCACTGAGCGAGGCGGATCGCCAGTTGGCGGAGCTGCACGCGGAGCGTGCCCTCCTCCTTCAGCCTTTCCCCCCTGAGCGGGACAGCCTCTCCAACCAGGATATCGTTCACCTCCTGGGCGGGATGTTCCCGCAGGACGCGGTTCAGGCCTATGACCCCATCACCGATCGGGTGACCCTGACCAAGGAACAGGAGTGCGAACGCGCTGCCCGGGCCACGCGCCTTGTCCGGGTGGAGGCCGCCATCGCCGCGGCCGAGGCCGAGCGCAAACAGGCCGAGGAAAAGCTGCGTGACCTGAGCGAGCGCCTGGATCACAAGGACTGACATCACATGACACACATGGGCCTGCGTTGAACACCGTCACCGGTAGCATTTGTTCCCCGGCCCCGGCCCCGGCTCCGCCCGCTCCGCGTCCCCTTCTTGTGGGACGTCTCCCTCGCTCTTGAGCCTCGGGGCGTATTTTTGCCGGCCAGCCTTTCCCGGCGCCGCCTCGACCCGGCCAGCCCCCTCGGTCTGCGGCGTTGTGTTCGGGCTCCCGTGAGCCAGGGCTGTTCCCGAAAAATAGAGGTTGTCCGCTTTTTCATCGGCCTTCGCTGGTCCGTCCCGCTTGGGAATGCGGGGAGTGTGTATGCCCCTTTGTGTGCCCCCCCCCCCCCCCCCCTGAACTCCGGGCACGAGTTCAGGTATGGACGCACACGCACCCGGCGATCCCCCTCCCCCCTGGAGTTCAGACGTGTGCCCCCCCCCCCCCCCCCCCTCTCCCCCGGGGGGCTGGGGCGTCTCTCGGCGTCTGTTTTTTTTCTTGCGCCCCCCCTGGGGGAGAACCCCGGGCGGGCGGATCGCTGCACGCTGCCTGACTGAAGCCACGCCCGGGGACACCGTCGGATAGCGGTAATGCAAGGCAAACCCCGGAGAGGGGGACGGGGCGGCCCAAGTATCAGGACCAGCGGTGCCCGAGCCGCGCCGAGGGAGAAAGCGAGAGAGGCGGGGGCGGGGCGACTCGGAAAAAACAAAACTCCGGGCCCCTTGGGGGGGGGGGGGGCATTTTACGCATAAGGTGTGTTCTCCCTCGCCCGGCGCCGCTCCTGCAAGATGAGAAGGTCGCAAGCGGGATACCCCCCCGCCCCCTGGATGTCAGGCATCGGCACATGCCGGCCCTCCTCGACAGCACCCGAGCCGGGGACACATCACACAACGTAGTATGACCGACGACGCCCAACAGACGGAGGGGCAGATCTGACTGACTTCCTTCCTTGTGGCCCCGGACGGCAGGGCGCCGTGGTGGTCCCCAGTCGCAGCCGCGAAGGAAGGGGCCGGGGGCGGGCAGGAGAGGGGGCTCGGGGGGTCGCCGTCTTTCGCTGGTGCCGATCCACTCTTCGGGTCCCATCCAGGGGCTTGGGGCGCGTGATGTGATCCTTCGTCATCCGTCGCATCATTGCCCCCCCCCCCCCTCCTTCACCGTCCGCCGCTTCGCCTCCCTAGCTCCTCCTTGCTTCCCTCGCCCGCCCGCCCGCCCGCCCGCCCGCCCGCACACCCGCCCGGCCGCTTCCCCGTCTTCCCCTCCCTGCGCGTTTCGCTGCTGCTTCGCTCCTCGCTCCCCTGGATTTGTCCGCGATGTCGGCCGCAGCCCCAACCGCCCTCAAGATCCTGCTCATCGGCGACAGTGGGACCGGCAAGACGTCCCTCATGTACCGTTATGTGGATGATCGGTTCCGTAGCGATGAGCTCGCCACCGTTGGTACGCACCATCCTCGTGTTAGTTGCTCGCCTTCCATGCGCGCGCCGGCTGCCGGCCTGCTGGGCCACATGTGTTGACCTGTGAGCATCTTCCCCGTTCCTTGGGCAGGTGTCGATTTCAAAGTCCGCCATGTGGTTGTCAACGACCAGTGCTACAAGCTGCTCATTTTGGTGCGCTCATTCCCCCCCCCCCCCCCCCCCCCCCACGCGTCAACCGTTGTGCCTGTGCCCTTGGACGCGCCTCTCACCATGTCTCCTGGATTACTTGCCCCATGTACAGGACACCGCCGGGCAGGACCGCTTCCGGACCCTTTCCTCTTCGTACTATCGCGGCGCTCATGGTGTCATCCTCGGTTCGTGCTGCTCGGCTTCTCCTCGTGTCGTGCATCGCCGGTTCTAATCCCCCCTCCTCTCCCCCCCCCTCTCTCTCTCTCTCTCTGTCTTCCCCTCGGTGCGTGCAGTCTACGACATTACCAACCGGTCGTCCTTCGACAATCTGAGCAGCTGGTTCGACGAGCTGGACTACCACTGCCCCCCGGGGGAAAACTCCAATGTCGTTACGATGATTGTCGGCAACAAACTGGACAGCGTACGCCCCTCCTAGCCTGGATCTTTACAGGGCTCCCCTTCTCCCATCGATCTTTCTTTCTCCTTTCCATCCGGCTCCTTGCCTTTTGCTTTCTCGTTCTGATGTTCGTGCCCATTTCCGTTCCCCCTCATCCTCCGTACCCCCCCCCGGCCCCGCCCCGCCCCGCCCCTCCCCGCACGCCCGCACATATACACCTGCAGCTCGACCAGTGCGCAGTCACCACCGAGGAGGGCCAGGCTCTGGCCCGGCGCCGCGGGTCGCTCTTCGTTCAGAGCAGTGCTCGCACGCGTGTCGGTGTAGCCCAGGCTTTCGATCACCTTGTGGAGAAGGTGCGACACGTCCCCGACACTTCCCTCCAGCCCTTGCTTCCTGATGTTCTCCCCCTCGCCCCTCTCCCTGCTGTTGCTGACCCTGCCCCTGCCATCGGATGCCCGCTCAGATCGTCGAGAAGATGGCCCTGTCCAATCAGACCGCCGCGCCCTCTACTCAGGGGAATACCGTCTCCAAGAGTCAGTTCGATGAGGCTGAGGAGGCGGACGAGGGCAGCTCCTGTGGGTGTTAGGCAGGTCATTTGTCCCCCCTCCCCTGCCCCATGGCCTTTTCCCTCTTTCCCTTGTGCGATCTTGTGGGTGGCTCTATTGATCTCCCTCCCCTCTTTTTTCTTTCAGATTGGTGCCCCTCTCTTTCCCTCTCTCCCTCTCTGGGTGCGCCCCCTCCCCGTCGTTTCAAAAAAAGAATACAACAGACATAGTGTTTTCTGTGGGCCCACTTTCCCACACACAGCTTGCCCACCCCTCCCTCGGCTTGCATGCGAAGCGGTGAGGGGGCGGAAGCACGGGAGGGCTGGGGGGGGCGGGGACGCGGGGGGGGGGGGGGGGGGGGGGGGAGGGGGATCCAAACAGTGGGGTATATTCTACAGGTGAGGGGGGGGAAAGGAAGAGAAAGGATGGCGAGTGCAGGCGCAAGCAGGGGGGCCGGGAATGCGGGTCCCAGGTGGCTGGACGCCAAGATCCAGGGCAATTGCCCCACATTAGCGGCGCTTCTTCATGGGGCCGGAGGATTTCCCTCCCCTGCCGGCCGAAGGACCGGCCTTCTTCTTGGGCGCGGCATCGCCATCCTCCTCATCGGAGCGACGGCGCTTCAGGCCGCCACTATCCTTGAACTCCTGTGTGTGTGTGTGTGTGTGTGCAAATGGTAGGGAGGATGGGTCAGTCATCGCGCGTCGGGCAGAGTCCCCCATCGGGGGAGGCAGGGAGACACCGGTGAACGTACGAGAGCCGCGACACGCTGGGCCTCCATGACGCGCTCCAGCAGCAGGAGAACCTGCGCCTCCTCGCAGCCGGAGTAGAGATCCATCTGCTTGCCGAGGAGCTGCTCAATGCGCTGGAAGGCCTCGACATCGTACTGGGTGACGAAGGTGATGGACTTGCCGGAGCGACCGGCACGGGCGGTACGGCCAACCCGGTGGACGTAGTCCTTGCTGTTCTGGGGCAGGTCATAATTGATGACCAGGTCCACGCTGGGGATATCCAGACCACGGGCCGCCACGTCGGTGGCGATGAGGATGTTGCGGGTGCCGCTCTTGAAGCGGTTCAGTGCGCCGAGGCGCTTGGGCTGCGACAGGCCGCCATGCAGCGGGATGGCCGGGAAACCAAGCGCCCGCAGCATCAGGGCCAAGGTCTGGGCCGAGTGCTGGCGGTTGACGAAGATGATGCTCGCATGCCCGGCAAACTCATTGATTAGGTAGGTCAGGTAGACCTCCTTGTACTTGGCCGGGATGAAGAGATACGACTGGAGAAGCTTGTCGGCAGTGGAGAACCTGCAGTGGGGGAAGCCCAAGGGGCGGGCCAGCCGAAGTTCACACCGAGGGACGGGGGCGGGGACGGGGAGGGGGGATAAGTTTCCAACCGGCAGGCAGAGGACACAGGGATGAGGGAGGGAGAAAGGGGAGGGAGGGGGAGAGAAGGGGGGGGGGAGGGGGGGGGGGGGACGCGTACTTAGTTGCCACTTCCACCTTGACCGGATCACGCAGAGCCGCGCGCTGGAGCTTGTTCACCTTGTCGGTCATGGTGGCCGAGAAGAGCAGCGTCTGGCGCTCCTTGCTGATGACCTTGATGATCTTGTTGACCTCCTCCTCGAACTCGCTGTTCAGCAGGCGATCGGCCTCATCAAGGACCAGGAAGCCGGTGGTGCGCAGGGAGAACCCCTTGGTATTCTCCAGGTGATCCACCAGACGACCGGGGGTGGCCACCACAACGTGCGGCTTCTTGGCGAGTGACACCGACTGGCTCATCATGTCCACACCGCCGACGATGGCCACCGACCGGACGCCGATCGGCGCGCCGAGGGCCTCAACATTCTCATGGATCTGGAAGGCAAGCTCTCTGCCAGCCCGGCGTCGCACAAGAGCAAGGGAGGGGGGGGGGAGGGAAGGAGGGGAAGGGGGGAAGAGGACAAGGCAGGTCAGCGGGCCTGTGGGGTGGGAGTGACGGCGGGCCTGGCCCGTTCTTCAGGGGGGGGGGGGCCAAAGCCAACGCACCGGGTCGGCGCCAGAATCAGGGCGAAAAGGGGGACCGGCTTCTTCAGGAGAGCCGACAGGATGGGCAGAGCAAAGGCACCGGTCTTACCGGAGCCGGTCTTGGCCAGGCCGATGATATCGCGGCCCTTGAGGGCCGAGGGAATGGACTCCACCTGAATGGGCGTGGGCTTGGTCCAGCCAACCTGAGCGCAGGCTGTGGCGTGGCAGCAGGGGCGAGAGGCAGCCAGGGGGAGGTGGGCAAGTGGGTTGGAGCAGGAGGGGGGGAGGGGGGACAAGTGAGTCAACGATCTGCGCGAAAGGAAATCGCCACAGGCAGCCCACGTCAAAGGGCCTCCGCTTGTCGAGGGCGCCGGGCCACCATTCACATACCCTGCAGGAGGATGTCATTCAGACCCAGGTCGGCGAAGGTGGCGGGCTTCTGCTCGACGGTCTCGGCATCGGAGTCGGAGTCCGAATGGCTGGCGTCCGAGCCGGACAACAGGTGGCCGCGGAAGTCGTCCTCGGAGTCGCTCATGATGTGCACTGGCGTTCGGATTGGAGAGGTAAAGGGAGGAGGGGGGGGGGTGTGGGAGGGCGAAGGGAGAAGAGGCAGCCCCCAGAGAAAGGACGGGGAAGGAGACAGGGGGTGGGGGGTGGAGGGAGGGAATTGTGACCCTCCGGGCATGCGCCCGGGCCCGGGCATGGTGGCCCTTCTTCTCAGGTCGTACCCGGGCATCGTCCAGCCGGAGGGGGGGGGGGGGGCAAGGGGGTGCAGAGGAGGCCGGCAGCATGGGGAGCCGACGGCCGCATGGACAAGTGCCAACGAATGTTCCAGCTCGTCTCCATGTCTGGGCCTCGGGTGGAAATGGGCTGTCGCTGCCGAGGCGCGGGAGCATGGCTGTCGTGGTGCCGGCCCTTGGAAGGGCCCGGGAGGGGGGGCGGGCGGGCGGGCGGCGGGCACGGGGCGAAGAGTGGCTCGCCATGTGTCCTGTGCCAGCTCATCAGCGTGCACGAGGGGGCTTGGAGGGCAGACGCCCCGCCTGCAGCGCCCCCCTCTCCTCTTCTTGGTCCTCGGTCCTCGACCGCTCTCCTTTCGTGCAGCTCGCTCTCTCGCTCGCTCTCCTCCTTCTCCTCCGGGTCCTCCTCTCGCCGTTCGCCGAAGCCATGATTTGTCCGCCCCCGCTACGGGGCCCTCTTCATCGACTGGCCTCGAGGCCTGGGCTGCTGAGCGTCCAGTGGACCCCGGCGCGGCAGCTTTCCTCGAGATCCGGAAATGCGGCAAACGATGGCGCCTCCAAGCCACCGGGCAACTCGACGGGTTCCTTGCGCCTGCCAGCCTCCTTCGATCGTGTCCCGCAGGGCCAGCGCCCGGGCACACGTCGCCGCGAGCCGGAGCCGGAGCCGGAGCGTCTGCGCACCCGTCGGGGTGACAAATCCCCGATGCCTGGCGATGCACTGGGCCAGAAGCAGCGCTATCAGCCGGTGGGCACCGAGCGCGTGCTCATCCAGAGCTTTAGCGACAATTTGCAGGGGCTCCCCTCGCTGCCGACGGCCGTGTCGTATGAGCGGCAGCGTGACAATCGCTCGCGAAGCGGCGATCGGCATCGATACGCACAGCCGGCCTCCAGGCGCGATGGGCGCCTTCAGGAGGACTTCTCCTCGCATGGGCATCTGTCGGGGCCGCACTACACCCAGCAGATTTCCAACCACACGCCCCTGTCTCGAATGCACCCGCGCTTGTCGCAAGTCATCACCAAAAGCATCTCGCCGCTGCTGCTGTCAGCCGCGGGCCTGGTCCCGGCGGATCAGCTCCGGCGAATGGTGCTGGAGCCGACGCACAATTTATATCAAAATTCACAGCTCCTCCTCCAGGATAACCCTGTGGCCGGGCTGTCGATGGCCCAGGATCCGTCCCGCTTGAGCTCCAACTGGCGAGCCAATCGCCTGCATCAGCGCCTGGCCGAGCTCTTCCCCAAGTACTACATCGGCATTCACGACCCGGTGCGCCTAACCAGCGAGCCGGTCTCTCGCATTGAGTCCATCAAGCAGGGGCATTCCAAGTCCAACTCCAAGGTCATCCACAAGTGCGAGCGCTTCACCATCCTTGCCGCGCCGTGGGATCCCCTTCGCCGGCATGATCGTACGTCTTTGCCCCGAGCTGCGGGGTGCTGCCTCTTCCTCTGCCGGGGCACTGTGTTCCTGTGTTCCTTTTTTCTTTTGTTCTCTGTGTCTGCCTGTGTCTGCCTGTGTCTGCCTGTGTCTGTCTGTCTTTTCCCTTCTTTCTCTCTTTCTCTCGCTGTCTCTCCTTCTGTGTACTCACCTATCCCCCCCCCCCCCCCCCCGCCCCTCCGCTCCCGGATCTCCCTGCTGCCCGCACCTTCCGCCCTCCCTCCTCCAGCGGGCTTCAAGAACCTCCCCTTCGGCTACCGGGTCATCGTGCAAGCCAGCAAAAGGTCCGTCGACAATCGGGCCGCCGTGCGCGACTACAGCCGCCGCGCGGTCAAGTACGCCTTCCACGAGGCCGTCATGAAGTATGCCCAGCAGACGATGGACCTGCTCAACGAGACCGAGGCCCAGAAGCCGGGGTCCGTCGACCCGATCCTCTTTTGCACCGACCGGCCCTACTCGCCGCAATTCCACGCCTGTGACTACATCATCAACATCAAGCTCCCGCCGGCCGGGGTGCACGGGTACTCCGTGATAAGTATGCCCCCGGCACACCTGGCCTCCCAATCCAGCCCTGTCCTCTCCCCCTGGACCCTGGATGATGTCCGCGCCATCTCCGACGAGGCCGTTCGCCAGAGTGTGGCCTGGATGCGGCAGCAATTTTACAAGCGCGTGCCGACCGAGCCGGTAAAGCGGCGTGGGTAGGTCACGTGTCAATGTAGCCCACAACAAGCCTTTTGAAGTGCCGTCTGCGCGGGTATTTTCCCTTGGCGTGCCTTTCTTCCCTCCTTCGATCTGCCAGCGGGGGTGTGTTATTTTATGTCCCCCTCCCCGGGGGGCGCGGGGGGGGGGGGGGGGGGGGGGGGGGAGGCCAGGCTCGACTGGCCGCCTGCCCTCGCCCCCGGTCCCCCCTCCGCCCTCCTGGTGTTGGTATTTTGGCCACCGCCTCGGCCGGTCCCCTGAACGCCTGAGCGCGAGGATTGGCATCTGCGCCCTTCTGGAGAGAATACACGCCTGTTTGCATACATCTCCATCGAGAAGACACCCGGCTGGAGAACATCCAGAACCAGCGCGGCCTGGCGCGCGCGCGTCGGACACAACTGCTTTGCTCGAACCTTTGGGGAGAGATCATGCGCGAGGAGGGGTAGGGAGAGAGAGAGGGGGGGGGGGGGGGGGGGGGGGGAGGGACGGGAGGGACCGAGAGCATGGTGTCGAATTGGTCGGATCGGGCCTTGAGTGGCGCGCGCGCCCTCACTTTGGGCCACGGCCTCTGGCTGTCGCCAGCGGGACCGCCCCGCGAGCCAGTTGGCTCCGCACTTGTTTGAGACCTCCAAGGCCCGGGAGAGAGAGAGAGGGGGGGGGAGGCGAGGTCTGCATTCCTGACCTTGTGCCAGGCGTCAGGTGCAGCATTGTCCTTCGGCCAGGCGCTGGGTCTGTGGGTGGGGGGTTAATTTTTGGCTCAGTCCCCTCCCCCCTCCCCCTGGCCCGGCCTCCAGCTGGACATCCCTGCCCTTGGCAAGCTCTCTGCCTCCCCCCCCCCCCCTCCCTGCCGCGTTCTGTGCCCTCCCCGCTTGTGCACGATCGCCCCGGCCTTTCCTGGCGGATTTCCCTCCCTGCCCAGCTCGACGCCGACTCCCTGGCGGCCTGGTCCCGGCCAACAAAATGCCCCGGGCGCGACTCTTTCCCCCGGGGCCCGGCCTGCCCGGGGCCCATGCCGGCCATGGTGGGCCCTCGGCCAGGCGCTTGCGCATCCGGACGTCCATTTGGCTGCGCAACAATCGCCGGTTGCTCCGGCTGACCATCGGTGTGATGGCCATCTTGGCCTTTGTGGCGGCACTTCGACTCCGAGGGGCCGGTCGGTCGCCATTGGGCAGGCCGATGCCCAGCCCGCCGGGCATGGCACCAGCCCCGAGGGTCTCGGCACCGGAGGCCCCGCCGCCGGGCCGGGCGCCGGTCGAGCCCGTGTCCTCGGCCGGAACCCGACACCTGACTTACATCCTGCACTCGCTGTCAACGCAGTGCTCGGCCGCCGTGGCCCGATGTTCGGACGCCCTGGGGGTCCTGCTTTTCTCGGACCCCAGCCAGCCGATCCTGGTCCCGGCGCCGGCTCCGGACTTCCTGCAGAACCAGGTCCCCGGCTGGGCGGCCGCCGCACACTACACGGACATTGCCCTGAGGCGCCTGGCCGAATGGCCGGACCTGGGGGCCCTGGCGGCCGGTGTGGCCGGCGGCAGTGGGCTCCGGCCGGCCGAAGTCCGCGTGTGGACATCCTGGCAACAGGAGTTCCGCCCTCAGACTCATGTCCTGCTGGACTTGGCACCGGTGGCGGCAGCCGGCGGCGGCGGCGGCGCCGCCGCCGCGGCCCGGCCCGATTGGCGACTTCGCATGGAGCTGTCCGATGACATGCTCCATGGGCCACAGGTGATCGAGGTGTCCGAAGAGTGGACCGAGGCCACCCCCGGGTCGGGCCCACTCGGGCCGGCCCCGTCGCGCGTGGAAACCCTCTGGCAGCGCAGCTCGGTCGGCGGGCCGGCCTTCCGGTCGCGGCCGGTGGGCTTCCGCCTGGTGCTGGCCCCGTCTCCGGTGCGCCCGGGTGCCGGGCTCGCCGCCGGGCTGCCGCTGGCTGCGGAACTGGCCCACTCGCTGGGGCGCCTGCTGGCCGCGGTGCCGAGCTCCCCCGAGTGCGGGCCGGTCCTCTGCCCGCGGCCGGTCTTGAGCATGGCCGACCTGCACGAATGCTTCCAGGCCGACAATGAGGCGGCCGTCTTCCACGCTGCCAATTGCCTGGCCATCATCATCGACAGCTCGGTATGGCCGGCTTGTGCCGATGCCGCCCCAAATGCAAGCAACCCCCTGGCCTGACCATTTCACCCACCTCCGCCGGGGCTCGAGGGCAGATCCTCCACCAGCTGCCGGGCGATCTGTTCGACCGAGCGGCCGACTGGACTCGCCATGGCCGGCGCTTCTACCTGCCGGTCGGCCGTTCCATGGCTCTCAGCCGGGCCGAGCAGGCCGGGCGACGGAGGCAGGAAGCCGAGCAGCCGACCTCCCCGGTCCTCTGCCCCCCGGGCGACATTGCCCCCTGCCCACATACACTCCTGCTGCGAACGCGCGAGCGTCTGACCCTCCCGCTGTTGGCCGTGTGCGCATTTGCCCGTGAGCATGCCCATGTGTCGCGCCTGCGGGCCGTTACTGACCGACCTTTGCCGTGCCGGTGCTTCGCCACTTCCGGGCGTCCCACCTGGGGCCAGGTCTTTCCTCGATCTAAACCGCCTCCACCGCCAGCCAGATCCCCTGGCCCACCGGGTCCCCGGAGGCAACCCCCTGGAAGACTGGCCCGTGGTGGAGTACCTGGCCCAGTCCCTGCTGGAGATCGGCCTGCGCACTGTTCGCCCGGTGGAGCGGCTGCTCCTCCTGGCGGACCAGCCGCTCACCGTGCTGGCGGCCACCGACCCGGCGGCCGGCCGGCAGTCGGCCCCCTACCCCCCGGACGGCCGGTGGCATCGCGGCGTCCGGGTCGGCCGGGACATGGGCCCGCGTTCGGCCGACATACCGCGACACTCGCCCTGTCGCCCGGAGCTCCAGCGCCTGGGCTTCCGACTGGAGAGCTCCTTCAGCACCGGCGACATCGGCGCCTATGCTGACCCATCGTCGGTGCTGGCTCGCGCCCGCGAGTGCTACTTCCGTCTGCCCAGGCGCCCGGTCGCCGGGGACTTCATCCGCATCCTGGCCCCCGGTGATGGGCCGGATGGTGGGCCCGGGCCCAATGCCGCCTGGCTCTTTGGCTCGGGGGTGGAGATTGCCTCCGGGGGGCACCTCTTCCCCCTGAATAGGTACTGAAATGAGTGGCACTTCCGGCCAATCAGCCTGCCCGCCTGCCCGCCTGCCCGCCTGCCCGCCTGCCTCACCAACCACCCTTCCGATTGCCTTCCGATTGTCTTCCTGCCGGGACCCGGTTTTCAGCATCGCCACGCGGTACTACGTCGACATTGAGTGGATCAGTGAGAGGGGCACCGGCCACCATGCTGGCATCGTGGTGGACGGCGAGCAGAATGGCGGCCTCTTTCGCGTGGACCTGTGTGCGCTCCAGCCCGCCGAGGTGCCGGCAGACAGCCGCCCGGGGGCCTGCATGGCACAGGTTGTGGCCATTAGCCTCCTGTTTTTGGACCCGGTGCCCGACGGCCAGCCGGTCCCGGTCATCGAGTATATCGGCGTCCGGCGAGACTGGCAGGCCCGGTAGCCCCGGCACCCGACTCTCACAGGGCCTCCTCCGCCCGGAGGAGGGGCCAGGGAAAGGGAAAGACACCAAAAGACAAAGAAAAGAAGTCCACACCCTCGCCCGGGTTCTATTGCACGACCGAATCTTTCTATAGGTGTGCGGGCAGCGCGGGGGGGGGGGGGGGGGGGGAAGTCCGAGGACAGGGAGCAACGCAGCCTGGCCTATTCGCTGGGCGGGATATCGGAAGGAGGTGGAAGGGCACCGGGGGCCGCCGGCACCGGCGACTCCCGCTGGTAGATGGTGGCCATGAGGCGCTGGTCGCGGTCTTGGCGACCGAGACGAATCTGACGAAGGAGCAGGAAAGTCAGGGTCCCGGCCGCCAGGAAGGCAGCCAGGGGCGACCTGATAGCGCGTTGGGAAAAGTCGCTCGCCCAGAAGGGCGCCTTACCGCCGGCCTTCATCACACCAATCCAGCAAAATGCACGGGGAAAAAGCCCGAGAGAAAGGGACGGGAAAGGGAGAGAGAAAAAGAGAGGGAAAGACAGAGGGGGGAATGGATGTGTGTGTGTGTGCTCGGTGTCGTGGCCTGGGCCGGGGATTGCCCCTTTTTGAGCCCCCGGGGGAAAGAGTCCACAAGATCTCGGAATATTTGGCCATTAAATGGGGGGGTATATTGCGGCATTTGCCAGGATACACATACACACATGCGCACACATGCACATGTACACCGACGGCCCCGCGAGCGGCTCGCCCCTTCGCACGCCAGGCAACAAAAGAGAGGGGGGGGCGGGCACACACAGGCCAGCTGGGGTCCCCATCTCACTCTCTCCCGGTCGACCCTCGGACGCGCCCTTATCTATCTCTCTCTCTCTCTCCCTGGCTCTTTTGGCCGAGGGGGCCCCTACGTCTTGAAGAAGGGGTGGGTCAGGGCCTGCGAGGCATCCGGACGCTCGTTGGGATTGAGGGCCAGCAATCGCTGTATGGTCACGTGGTCAGTCTTCGATCGCGCCCGCGGCCAGCGCACTCAGGGCCTGCACGCCGGCGACGAGGGGAGGGGGGGGGGGGGGGGGGGGGGGGGGCAGGCACATTCCCACCCCCCGGCCGCCCCCGCCCACACGGGGCGGCATTTCAACGCACCGAAAGGAGTCGAATCCCCGGGGCATCCAGGTTCGGCAGAGCCAGCTGCAGGACCGCAATGAGGAAGCCACGGGAGCCAGGGGTGGGGGTGCGCGGGCCGCGGCCGGGTCGCGGCGCGTTGTTGGTCGCCAGTGGGCTCGGCGCGTCTGCCCCCTCGCCGGCATCGGGGATGAGAGTGGCCGAGCCGAAGTTGACGCGGGACGCGCGCGCCCCCAAGCCCAAGGCCGCGCTCGGGGCCGAGTGTTGGGGGGGAATGTCGCCAATGCCGCCGGCCGAAGCGAGTGGCTGCTCCTCGGTGGCGGCGGGAATGGCCGGCGTTTCCGGATCATCGGGATTGCGCTTTTGGCCGGCCGTCATCAAAGGGATGAAGGTGGCCGGGGGAACGGCCGGGCGAAGGGACCGGGGCAGTGTCAGCCATGTGGTCGCTGGCCGAGGATGGGGAAAGGAGTGACGCACCAGGCGCGGCAGCGGCCCCAGCATCTCAACGATGCGTGTAAGCTGCACATACTCGGCCGAGAAGGCCACCACGCCCGCTGGCGGGGCGGGAATCGTGTATGGCCGGACAATGCGGGCGTCAGGGCCTGCGCCACCGGCCGCCGCCGGGTCTCGCCGGCCGCGAGGCCGCTGGTAGGGATACTCGCTGGAGATGTCCCCCTCGCCATGGAGGTAGGGCCCGAAGAGCACGCGCCCGGTTGCCATCTCGGCCAGCACGCAGCCGACACTCCAGATGTCGATGGCACAGGAGCCCCCGACCGCGGCGGCCTGAGCGGCGGCCAGCTTGGCCGCGCGCATGACACGATTGGACCGACTCGACCGGGACATGGTTCTTTCATCGTGGGCCCGAAGGCCGCCATCCTGGAAGAGGCGTTGGATATTCAGCGGAAAGCGTGCCAGCAGAAGCTCCGGTGCACGATACCACAGGGTGGCCACCTGTGTGCGTGTGCGGGGGGGGGGGGGGGGGCACGGGGGGGGGCGGCGGGGGGATCGGCCAGGGTGAGACATGGGGGGGGGGGGGCTCAGCGAAAGAAGGGCAAGCCGGCGGGCGGACCTCAAAGGCATAACTCCGGACCGGATGGCCGATGATCCGGGCCAGGCCAAAGTCCGCGAGTTTGATGTTATTGTCCTGGGGTGCATGCGGCGGGCCGGAGATCCACGGGACAGTGGGCCAATCGCACATTAATAGAGGCATACAGGCGCAGTCACACACACACACACACACACACATAGGAGGGGGGATGTGGAAGGTGGGCGGGGAAAAGGTGACGACGAAGAGCGGCGCACACTGGAGATGAGGATGTTCTGGGGCTTGACGTCGCGGTGGATGACGCGGTGCTCATGGCAGTATGCAAGAGCATGCAGTAGCTGCTTGGAGAAGTGCTGCACTCAGCCGGGCGTGAGCCACGCCGGGCCGAGGTCAAGAGGCGGAAGGGAAGGGAGCCGGGTCAGGGCGAGCGGGCAGGCGCGCGCGACGGACCAAGACCATGCGTCATACCTTGAAGAGGTCCGGCTTCAGGCCACGCGGCCCAAATTGATTGAGATATTGCCGGAGATCCAAATCCGCATACTCCAGGACGATGACCAAGTCCGAGCGACTGAGATGGACATCCAGCAGACTGAGCGGCAGCCCCAAGCAGGGAGGAGGGGGAGGGAAGGGCAGGGCGCGAACGGGGGAGGGGCAAAATGGCTGACGGTCAGCCGGGGAGGCGGGCAGGGGGCGGGGGGCCGTTGGGCGTGCCTGGCGCACTTAATGATGTTCGGGTGTTTGAGCAAACGAAGGAGGGAGATCTCCCGCACGGCGGTCACCGGGAGACCCTGTGGATGGAAAGGCGCAGGTCAGCAGCGAAAGACCATGAAGGGCTCCGGCCGAGGGACAGCAACCCGAGGCACGGACGCACCTCGATCCCAGGCGCCGGGGCACTTTTGGACCCGGAGTCCGTATGCCCTTCGAGGCTGGAGTTGTTGGATGAATCCAGCCCGGCCGAAGCGTCCGAGTAGAGACTCAGGATTTTGAGGGCCACCTTCTTGCCTGAGGCTTTGTGAATTCCACTGAAGACGACACCATGGGCGCCTGTCGCGGGCAGGGGAGCGGGAGCGGGACGGTGAGAAGAGCACAGCCACGAGCGGGCCCGCGAGGGCGAGCGAGGGGCGCACCTTCGCCCAGCCTTTTTCGCCGGCTATATAAGTCGGAGGACATGGCGCTGCTGAGGCACAGACGGGCGGGGGGGGGGAGGGGGGAGGGAGAGGGGGCGGGGGACAACGGGGCGCAAGAGGGGGAGGGCCGACCGAGACGGGATCTGTGGCTTTTTCTGTCCCCCCCCCTCCCCCCGGCGGTCCGGCTGCTGCCGGGGTTCCTGAAGGGGCGCTGGCTCGACCGCGGGGAAGGCGCATATGCCAACGGACCCGGGATGCCATCGCTCGATATTTTTGGGGCGATTTCATCCGGCCCGGCCCCTGCTGCGGCGCGTGTGGGACCCTCTCCGGGCGCGCGCGGGGACGCCAGCTCGTGGCTACCCCGTCTCCTCTTCGGCCCCGGGGCCCGGAGCCGGTCCTCTGCCCCACGCTCGCCGCCTCCGCCCTGGGCCGGGAGATCGCACGACCCTTTCGAGAGTGGGCCAGGAGGGCAGGGCCGGGCAAGCGGGTGGCGTGTTTGCATCTGTGTGAATGTGGGTGTGCGCGCATGCAGGCGCGTGTGCCCTGTGCCGAAGGGGAGGGGGGCCCGGGGGCTGGGGGGCGCAGATTGGTGTGGGTAACGGCTGGCCCGTGAAAGCGGGCGGACTTTTTCAGCCCGCGTCAACTGCTCCCGAGCCCAGTCCATGCGGGTATGCTCCTCCTCCCCTGCGGCCGATCCCTGCTGC